CTGTGGGTTCTGATGGTTACTGTGGGGTTTTCAATTTCAGGAACTTGCCAACCCCATCGCCAGCCCCTCGTTGGTTTGCCTCCCTGAGATGCCGTCAAAAAAACCAATCAACCGCCTACTGTAATGTCAGAAATGGCGTGAGGGCTTCAAAAAGGACCTACGTGCTCAGATGGTGACTTTGCAAGCAAAGCACTGGTTCATTTACAAACCAGTGCAACTCTTTTTGGGCAACCTGGTTGGTCCAGCTTTCTTTTTCACCAAGGAGGGGAGAACCTTGGCAAAATGTCTCCCTACAAGATTTACCAAAGTTCCTCAACCGCATGACCCATCCACCCTGCAAATCTTGATACCCCCGGAAACCGACTTTGACTCTGATGAATACACTACCATAGACGTGAAGGAATTTTGGAAGGTCCACGGCGAAGTACTTTTGCCAGATGGAACAAGCCTCTCTGCACAATGCGGCCCATATTTGTATTGTGAGCTTTCCTTATTTATTCTTTGATCGAGATGACCTCCTGACATTGTGTGAATTACCTTAGAGGAAGCGGCCAACGGATTTGACCAGTTCCCCATCACCAATCCTTGGCGCGCGAGCAAAAGGTCGAGTAGTCAAGCACATACCTACACTGCGCCAAATTGCAAATTTACCGTGGAGTTTAGAAAATTGCGTAGACATAGAAAATTATAGAGAAGCTGGCAAGGGTCAGAAAAATATGAAAAAAGAATGGGAGGGCCCTTTGATGCATTCCGATTGTCTGGCATATTTTTTCATATTTTTAAAACCACAATGCATATAATACTACACAAAATATAATATCTTCTGGGCAGAAAATATAAAAACCAACAAACAGTGATATTGAGCAGTCTTGGAGAGAGACAAAAATACACAAAAATATGCATATTGTTCCTATGGCTGAGACCTTGGATTTGAGTATTTTTTTGTATTTTCAGTGTGCAGATTGTTGATTGTACTAACAGAAAACCTCCAAGTTTCTCAGATTACAACCTGTAACATGGATTGGAATTTGGCCAAGGGGTGACAAGGGGATATCTGGAATTCTATATCCCTCATATCTTTTGCAATTCTGGGTCAAAAAACTTGATATTTAGCTGATTAGGAAGCCATGAAATGCATTTGAATGTTATGTTAATGCATCAAATCTGTAGCTCCGCTACAAAAAAACCTATTTGTCTTCAAAATAATTTCCTATATAGCCACATAGATATTCTTTGGGATTAGATGCAGGTTTTGTGTCTCAATGAAAGATATAGTCACAGAGTTTGGCTTTCCAATGAACAAAAAATCAAGTGGTTTGACCAAGAATTGACAAAGATATAAGGGGTTGTTGAATTCAAATTATGCCCTCCAATGTCTGTTACAGGTTGTAATCTAACAATCCTGGAGGTGTTTTGTTAGTACAATCAACAATTCTCACACTAAAAATACAAAAAAATACTCAAATCCAAGGTCTCAGCCATAGGCACAATATGCATTTTTTTTTTTATTTTTGTCTCTCTCCAAGACTGCTCAATATCACTGTTTGTTGGTTTTTATATTTTCTGCGCAGAATATATTATATTTTGTGTAGTATTATATGCATTGTGGTTTTAAAAATATGACAAAATATTCCAGACAATCGGAATGCATCTAAGGGCCCTCCCATTATTTTTTCATATTTTTCTGACCCTTGCCAGCTTCTCTATAATTTTCTATGTCTACGCAATTTTCTAAACTCCACGGTAAATTTGCAATTTGGCGCAGTGCTATCACCTTGTATTCTGACAATACCGCCGGAAATGTTTCCAAAAAATGGAATAAGCACATGAGTGTCTTTTTCACACTTGCCGGGCTGCCTCCGAAAATGACAAACCACAAATATAACAGACATTTCCTTGCCACCTCAAACTGCACGTCGGCCCTGGAACTACTTGACAAAGTCGTGGATGACATCAAGTAAGTACCTGTCCTCAAAACTTAAATGTCCTCAAGAAACTGCCTAACCAGCGTTGTGATGATCTATTTATGATATCAAGCAAGAAAATTAATCATCATTACTTTACCAAGTTATTAGAAAACTTCAGTATAGCAGGACATTCAAAATTTAGGCTTTCAGATCAATTGAAGCTCTTAGAGGCTTATGTATACTTATTAGCTCAATATTATGTCATCTCATTTCAAAAATATTCTTAAGATCAACATGGTTTACTTACAAAGTTATTACAAAAAGACAGAAAAAGAAAAGATAAGAAAAATTCAAAAATATAGGTGTAAAAATTGGAAAATGGTTTTTAGGTTATTTATAATTAAGTTATGGGTTTTATAAGGTTAGAATATGAAAGAACAACACTTTATTATACAGTAACAATTTTAATCTTCAAGGTTGATAAGGGAAAACAGAAGTTATTAGCAGAAAGGTACTTTTTCAAAGTTGGTAAACAAGGGTTATGCGTGTAGTTTACATATGTAATGGTGGTAGTAGTGGAAATTAAGGTTGCCAAGAGGATTTTCCGGGATTTTTAAGGTTATAGAAGATGATCTCATATTACATGAGCAAGAGAAAGAGAGTAGCAGCTGTGAAAAGTGAAGAAAATGGGTGAATTTCGTGGAAAATGAAGGTTTTCAGCTAATTACATATGTCAAATGACGTCAGATTAAGTTGGTAGATAGCTCATTCAACGCAAAAGAGTGGATTACATAATGTAAAAACTTTAAATCATTAGTAACGGAGGTGTATGTAAAAAGTTACAAGGCAAATAGGAAATTGGTGTGAATCTCAAATTTACAGTCACAAGTCAACATGTAACACCAAAAACCTTAGCTTCACAACTCAATATCTTACTCATCACTCATCAGAAATAGGTCATATGGGTGTCATACATGATCAGTATCACAAGGGCTACAAGATGCACTATAGTAGATCAAAATTGGACCACTTGTGAAAAAATTCGTAATCTCAAAAATTGGTTTGCAGCTAGTTTACAAGGAAAAAATCACCTGTATTCATCTTAAGAAGTGCTGTACATTAAATCATTGCGTCATTGATCACTTTTGGCTGTGAAAATTACATCATACATTAGTAACAACATCATTACATTGTGTCATTACATGGTTTTTAGGATTCTTTAGGCGGATTTGACTGGTTTTTGAGGCTGTTGACTATTGTAGAGGTTTTTACATGTCAATATAAGTACTCTTTGATGATTTTGGGATTGTTGTTCCCCTTTCTGCATCTTATACCTTTGTTGTAGTGTTATAAATCATCATTTATTTACTATATTTGTACTAAGATCTCAATCCGCCCCTTCAAAGCAAGGAGAAATTTATTTACGTGTGTTAAAGACTATAAGTCAAATTGGGAATAATACTTACCAACAGTATTGCTCGTAATAACATAGTGTGTGTATTTTTGCGCTTAAAATCTGGGCATAATACTTCACAACAGTATTGCTTTATTTCTCTGGTGCCTTTATCTTTTTCTCTGTTATCACAAAGTGGTCAGCAAGTGCCCTTGTGCTGGTTTCTTTGAAGAAGGCAGTCTTTAGGCAACTTCTACTATATTACACGTAGTATATTATCCCTTCTTAGGTGTTGTAAAGCTCTTGTTGAGCTTTAAATACTACAGCGTGTCTTTTGCAGTCACCACAGTGCAAACGGTTTTCCAGTGTACAATCACGTGTCTGGAAAGGAGGTACTCGCTATGTTGGTTGTCCTATTCCATCTGGGCGACAGCCCCATGCATGCCGAGATCAGCAATACCACAAACCCAGCGTATACATTGACACCCTGTCAAATATGTGATTTGCAAGTCAAGCAGATGAGCGGTAAAAAAAGTTTGCACTATGTGTCAGATTTCATTGGAGTTGACTTAGACAGTGAACAGGTAAAGTGTCTCATTTGGTTTCTTTTCAACATTGATATGATGGACTTAGTGACATTATTATATATTTGTCACAGTTATCTTTACCCAAACGTAATTGGGATGTTACCCACGCAAGGGCATCCAAAATTTGGGCGTTGGCGCAAGAGCCCCACAGCAAGACTGCCGTTGAGGCGGAAGCGCAAAAGAACGGTTTCCGAGATTCTGTACTGAATTTCTTCATAAAGAAGGTGAACATTGCGCACAACTCACCGCAGACGTTGAATGTGCAGGAACTGTGCGCGGATTTGAACAAGAAGCTTGGTCCGCGTTTATTCAACCCCATGTCAAGGCTTCAAGGTAAGCCAGGCATTGGTATGTCCTTCAAACACCTGAACTTGATGGCTGAATCTGTCCTCCTTTTCAGGTTTCAATGGCCACCAAGACACGCCAGTCGAGACTCTCCACATCGTTCTACTCGGAATAGCAAAATACCTTTTCAGAGATACAATGAAATCATTTGGTATCATGAAACCCGGCTCTCAACAATATCGCAAACTTTTGGCTAAGTGGAGGAGTTTCAATACTAAAGGCTTGAACATTGCACCAATTCAGCCAAACCTTCTCATTCAATTTTACCAAAGCCTGGTAGGAAAGTACTTTCAGATTGTTCTTCAGACAGCCCCCTTTGTATTCCTCAAATACATTCCTACCCACAAACGTCACTTGTGGATCTTGTTGTGCCTTCTATCGTCTTACATCTTCCAGCACAAAATCAGGAAAATGGACGACTACCTGCAAGAAATGGAAGCAGTGATTTTAATCTTTTACAATCAGCTAGTGAGGAACTTGGCTCAGTGGGTGAACAAGCCAAAGTTCCACGTGCTCAGCCACCTGAAGGACTCAGTCGCCCGCTTTGGACCTGCAAACTTGTTCATGACCCAAAAGTTTGAGTGTTACAATGGGGTGTTGCGTCCAGCTTCAGTTCATGCAAACAGGATGAGTCCTGGGCGTGACATCGCCGAAACCTTCAATAATTACCAACTTATGAGGGTGCTTCTCTCAGGTAACACTTCTTTTGACAAGGAACTCCAAGTGCAAGCGTCTGCAGGCTCTTGAGTACGGAATCTTTTGAGCACAATGCCTGAATTGTCAAAAGTGATGGGCTTAGACCCAAAACTCAATCATGCCGCGGCGTTCACTTGTGGGCGTAAGTTCTCTATCATGTGAATGCTTCTTTGACCCGTGAAATCCTTCCCAGTATGCTCAACGATTTTTGTTTCAGCACGCTTGAAGGAATCAAGCAACATCCCCGGTTACCTTGCTATGCAGGCGACAAACTTGGCGTGGATAGAGCATTCGAGTGTAACTTTGTGCAACCACCAAAGGGTGGAGGTGAACAATTTTGTCAAGGTCAGTGGTGACCTTATAATTGAGTTGGAATCATCATTTATTGACTTTTTCTGGTTTCATGGCTGTCAGTTATTGAGCGGCAACATGCCTTTACAGGTCTTAGAGATCTGAAAGCCAAGTTGGATGAAGACATAGCCGATCTGTCCAACAAGATGGATGAAGAGCTCAACGTGTTGAGCGACCGAATTGATACCAAAGTGATGACTGTATACAACAAAGTCAATCAAGTCAATGAGACAGTCAACCACTTGACTTCTCATCAGCCCGGTACAGGCGCTCAGGGCAATGTGGCGCCTGCGACCACATTACCAACGCCCCCCTGGATGTATTCTCCTGAGCTGAAAGTCAGTGTATTCCTGCTTGACTTTGGATTCGTTTTGACTCTGGTTCACATGGATGTGTTTTCACCACACTGAAATCACTATCTCTAAATCCTGGCTTGTGTTTAGGCTGTGGTGGATGCCGCCGCAAACAAATCTGTGGCACTGCGGGGCATCACGGCTTATACCAATCTCAAAACACCAAACGGAGACCTGATCATGAATTCCCTTTTTAATACTGTCAAGGTCTGTCCACTCGGCAGTATGTTCCAATTTGTGTGTATCTTTCCGCTGCTGAAATTCCCTCTGCAGCAATCCATTAAGGATATTCCGGGTACCTGGCCTACCAAACAACTGCCTCCAGTTGTGAATGGAAACCAGAACGTTGCGGCCACCCAGAAGCAACACCTGAAGCGCTCCGCTTTCAGGCGGTTTTTTTGTGGCGGGACGCTTTACGCTACATAGGGGATCCGCCATTGCTCCGCTACATAGAGGAATCCACTACACTCCTGGCACAGCGCGGCAACTCTTGGACCCGCTCTTGCACCGCTCTGTAGTTTTTGAAGTCAACAGAGCGGGCCGAGGCAACATTTTTTTAATTTTTTTTAATATTCACACAGAAATCAATATGTACATATAATGGATGAAAATTTGAATAAACAAAAGTTTCAAAGAGTGACTTGAAAATAAAAGGTGATGAGATGATAACATAAAACTCAAAAATGGTTATAAGGAGTGACTCAAAAAATTAAAAATTGAAGAAAAGATAACACTTTAACGGAGGAAAAAAGTAAGAAAAAAAAGAAAACAAAATAAAAGTTTGAAAGAGTGACTTGAAAAGCTAAATAGAGAGATAGGAAAAATATCTTCAACAAGTTTCATTTACAAGTGTGATTTGTGAAAGAAGCAAGATAAGCAAGGGATTCTGAGAATCCATCTTTGGTTGTAGTTAGACCTGATCTTAACCATTCACAAACACCCACAGCCCTAGAAATTGTTTTAGGTTTTAAAGAACCGCGGGCAGGAATAGCAATATCGGCAGCTGAAGAACAGGTACGTTCCTGAGCGCATGTGGTAGCTGAGATACTAAAGTAGTCGCGGGCAATTGATTTGAGAACTGGGTAATGACAGGCATTGTCCTATTGTACACAAAGAAGATGATACATAAGGAGTTAATGATAATCATTTTGAAGTCTTGAGTGAGATACAAGACTTACCCTCTACCATGACAGCTCAGATTGACCAGGAAGAATCGGGTGGTTTCCTTGAAGATATAAGTCAAGTTTGGCAGATCAAATTGATTCAGAGGTTTGAAAGGAAGCGGACAAGGTGAAAACGTCAAATTGGTCATATGAGTTACCAGAAGAAGGATCGGGAGTGGGACTAGGGGTTGAGACTGGGGTAGCAGGCCAGGTGTCAAGTTTGTCGTTGAATACATCTTCAATGCATGTCTTGGCTCTTGAAGCTTCTTCTGGGTAGTGTAGATCAAAAAACTTGAGCCGGTATTGAGGGTTGAGGACGGTTACCAAGACAATCACCTCAGCACGAACAGCTTCAGTACAATATTTCTCAAGCTGAGAAATCATGACTTCAATCATGCTTCCAAGGCTTGGAAAGGTGGTGGAGGCACTTATGTCGGTGAGCTGATTATAGACCCTAAGATATTCTGCCCAAAGAACAGCACCCGTTGTGGTGATCAGAACACACCATCACCCTCTCCTTTATATACACGTTTAAGGGATCAAGAAGCTCAAATCAAAGTCTTACTCACTGAGAGCAGATTGCAAGCTCGAGTCAAGTTGATAATCAACAAGGGAGACAAAACTTAATCATGTGTCTTTCATTTTTTTAGGAGATATCATATCTAGTAAAGTTAGACAAGACAACAAAGTAACTCATGTAGTTAAACAAAGCATGATGAGGAGATATAACATGGAACAAAGATTTGGGTTGAAGTAATAGATAAGATAGCAAGTTTAGAGAAAGGGAATTGAACAGAATCGAGTCCGAGAAGAGGTAATAGAAAGGTCATTTTCAGGCTCAAAGTTACAACTAGATCAAAACTGCAGTTCGAGATTGAAATAGAGTAGAATAGGGTGAACATGGAAGACCAAGTCTTAGGGAACATACAGAACAAATAAGTTGAAAGTATTGAAAGAAGCCTAAAAATCGAAAAGGTTGTGGTAGTCTAAAATGCGAGATAAAGGATGGATGAGAAAGTTTGAAGGAGGAAGTTAGAAAGAGGCTGGAAGCGAATGGATTATAGTTGATATCTGAAGAGATCAAGACGAGACTCACTTGTTCATATCTTAATCAAATATCAAAATCGAAATTGAAAGATGAGAGGAACTTCGATCTTCAGGTTTAAAGATAAGCTGGATAGGGATTGGAACTCCAAATCGAAGGTAGATTGAGTATGATGTAGATGGAAGTGTTGAGAGGATCGATTTTGAGGTATACATTTAGAGAAGACAATTAGAAAGGTGTCAGTGGGTTGTGAAATAAAACAAATCAGAAAGGGAGCTATAAGACTCACCTCTTGGCATGCAGGATCAGAACTAGAGATTGAAAATTGGAATAGGGAATCGATTTTAGAGTGAAGTAGTTAAGTTGAGATAGGAGGACCGAGAAGCAAACAGGGCAAGATCGCACTAGTGGAGGTATGGATACCGAGTAAAAAAAATCGGAACTAGAGGTGGAAGTTAAAAGAAGAGAGAGAATGATCAAGACAAGAAACGAATAAGAGAAGAGAGAGAAAGACTTACATAGTAAAGGAGCTGACAAAACCACTTCGAGAACGATCGGTTGGAAGAAAAAACGTTGAGGTTGGAGATTGAGGCCGCATCATGAGCTGAAAGGGCGTGAGCAAAAGGTATAAAGAGAGCTGTTCAAAGGGAAAAGGAACAGGTGGCATCCAATTTTTAGTGTCCGATTTGTGTGTGAGTTTTATTGTGTGTTCTTTTGAATCAAGTTGGTTCAACAAAGTGTAGTATGTTCTTTTGTCGATCGTAGAGAAAGTGATCTAAACGTGTGTTCAAGTTAGAATTTCCGCGTAAAAGAAGAAGAGATATCAGTTCCTTTAAAGCAGTGAATTCGAGTATTAAATTTATTATTAGTAAGAAAGAAGTGTGACTTACCTTATTGTATCGTAATATAGCTAAAGCATTGAGTTGTTGAGGTCTTTTCTTGTGTTTGCTCAAAGTTTTGTGTATGCTGAGTTTGGTTACGATCCAGTCATCAGATTGTAAAGAAGTCAAAGTTTTGAAGTCAAATCAATAAACCCGCCTCTTGATCCAAGTCGAGGCCGGGTCGAGTCGGGGTCAGAAATCCACCCCAGACCTGTAACAGTGTGTTACAACCTTGTGAAAATCAACAAACTCGATTTTACATATCTCTATACTACGAATTTGTGAAGAGTCGTGTGTAATAGTGTTAGACTCCGCTTTGTGCTGCGCATCCAGCCGTGTGGTGTAGATTAGGTTTTGGGGAACCTTAAAAAGACAAAGAAGTGAGAGTAGAGACGCCTCATCTCAAATTTCGAAATCATTTTCGAAGGACAAGGGCAGCTTCACAGTGCCTGTAGTTTCATCCGCTCTCACGAGTGGCGATTCTTCCCCTCTCCGGCTCAGCCTACGCTACACTGCGTAGGAGTTCTACACCGTTGGTGTATTTCCCTCCATATGCTTGGTCGAGCGACGAAAAACCTGAAATGAGATTGAGAGAAGTCAGACTTGAGATGAATAAGGTGTATGATAAATGGAATCGACTCACTTCTAAGACTTTTCATAGTGTATCAACAGCCTCCCATTCTTCCATTGTCATCATGATTCCTTGGTAGTATCTGGTCTTACGATCAGCAATCAGAATTGAATCTACAACCTACGTACAAATTGCAATGCCAGTTAGTCAACCAGTGATAACCAAAACGGATCAGAAAAACAACTCACGTCTCGTGCGGCCACTAAGCAAGAATACATCTCAAGATCAACATTCCAAAGAACACCCCGACCGGCGATTGGACCCGGTCCAGAGTAGTCCATCGAAGCAGCTCGACCCTTGAATTTACCTTGCCTAGGATTGCTGCGAGTGAGCAAAGCATTAAATTCCTTTAACTACAAAATGAGCAAGGTTAGTAAAGTGAGGAAATGTAGGAAAGAAACAAAACAAGTATGAGAAACTTGCCTTTAATGCACCTTTAACCACAACACAGCCATTGGTTGGAAATTATTCACAATTGTATGTTGGATCATTGTCCATGTCATCATCTTGATCTTGCATGTGTCTCGTATCACAGTGAGGCTTGTGATTGAGTACATCATCCTCATCATCAGAGTCATCCTGATCAATTGAGGATTCATTCATATCATCGTTGAGGACAATACTCGGGATTGGTACAGAAGTATTAGGAGGGGTAGTCGGCTTGATGTGACCAGCTGATAATCCCAAAAGCGTGAGACCCTTTTTAACCACCAGTCCCAGCTTGTGGGCGTAGCATCTTACATGATTTTGCGACAAATCCCAATCAACGTGATTATCAGCTTCAGAGAACATTACCTCCATTTCACGTGCCATCGTGTTGTTTGAGGCACCTGAATCCGTCGTTTGGCCTAGCATGTAATCAATACAAATGACCAAATTAGTTAAAGTCCCAATAAAAAATAAGAGAAGAGGATTGAAAAAATATAGCTGCTAATCTTTTTGTGAAGTTCATGTGCTATCAAAAAGCGCCCAACTGCTTGTGCCAGGAGGTAGCCAAACTTATTCCAAGCAACTAGCTTTAAAGTAAGGTGAATCATTCGGAAATTCCAATCGTTGTCAATGAAATTTGCTGATACACCGATGAAGGCATAGCAGTTTCCCTTGGTCGTCCAAATGACGTGCATCAAGGAGAATTGGCTGGAGTTGTTCTGTTAAAAGATATCTCAAATGTCAGTTTAGGTGATCTACAAATAGATAACTGAGTTGACATACCTTTACTAAAGAGACAGCTGCCGCACTTAAGCTAATATACAATTCCTTGGCCACGCCAGCAGCCCAAGTAGGACTTCTTAACTCTGCTCGTCAATTGGTAGGCTTGAATGCTGCACGGAGGGGGGTATCATAAAACCTATTGAAAGGAAGCACGTGTAACATGATCCACAGGACGAGGACCGTGTTACATAGCTCAACACTGAAGGTGGTTCGGGATAAGATGGAATCAAGGGTTGGTTGGCCATTAGCTTTGTTCAACAAAGCGTCCATCGCCGCATGCTCTTGAGCCCAAGTGGGAGGAAGGGTGCAGCCAGCTTGAATGGCACGGGATCTTCAAGGGCAGGCAGATCGGCCCTTGGCGCAGTCACGCACCACCAACATATTTACCTCGGATTACAAAATCCGAGGTATCCTCGGATGCAAAACCTCGGACAGAAGCTTCCCAAAGTTTTGATCCGAGGTAATTCTCAGGGCAAAAAAATACCTTGGGCAAATACCTCGGACAAGGTTTGTCTGAGGATTTGCCTCCGATGATGCCTCGGAATTCTCAACCCGAGGCATCTATGCTGGCAGTGACGGTGAGCGTATAAGTTGTAATGACTACGTATACCACGGGTGAATGTTGCCTTGCACCAACGACAATTGAAAGAGCGAGGGTCGTTGCCTGTCTGCAGAAGGACAGAAAGGTATCAAACAAATGAAAGACTTCATGATTACAAAGTAAGAGAAATCACTTACTTCACCCTTGATGTGAGTCGGCGGGTAGTAATACTCCAAAAGCTTAGACACCCGTCCTAACTGAGCACGGTGTGGTGAGCAAGATCTCTACTTAAGCAAAAAATCTAACAATTATGTGAAAATTCGTGTTTTTGGTCAAAGGCAAAATTATTATTGAAGTTATTAGTCATCAAGGGTATCAAAGTTGATTCATAATCTTCATTTCATTAACTTTCAAATCATATATTTACATAATCAATTGATAAGAACATTTAAGAGTGAAGAAAAATTCGAAAAGATCAATAAAATAGTATAAGAGTGAAAATTAAATTAAGAGAATTAGTAAGAAGGGATTTGAGGAAGAAGAACATTTAGTTTGGATCTTTAGGAATGGAAAATGTTATGAAAAGAATGAAAGAAGAAGAAGAATATTAAGAAAGTTGGAGAAAAATTCGAAAATATGGGTATGAAAGATTGGAAAGTGGTTTTTAGGTAATTATTATAAGAGATATTGGTTCAGGAAGGTTTTATTGTGAAAGAGAAGGATCACATTAGTCAGCAACAAGTTTAATCATGAGGATTGATAAGGGATGTGTGAAGTTATTCAAGAAAAGGGAAATTTCGAAGAAGGGTACTATGGTATTAATCCCTGTGTAGTGATGTCATTGATGGATTGATTGCGCCAAGAGTTTTTCAGATTGATTTCAATGCTGTGTGATTGATTGGAGTGCTGTGGAATGATCTTTTGATAGAAGAAAAATCATTATTAGACGTGAAAATAGTCAAAATTCATCAAAATTGGAGGTTTTTAGTTAATTACATATGGTAAAACTTGTCAGAATTGGGTGTGTGATAGTTCATTCGACGCAGAATCATTGATTACGTAATTTACAATCTTTAAATCATTAGTAACGGAGGATTAGTGAAAAAGTTATAAGGCAACAAAGAAACTGGAGTGAATTTTGAATTTGGAGGTTACATGTGACATTTACATGACAAAACTTTATTTTTGCAATCTTTACAACTCAATAACTTATTCATCACACATCAGAAATAGGTGATAGGGGGGTGATAAATGATCAGAATCACGAGGGCTATCAAATGAGCTATAGTAATCCAAAATTGAACAACTTTACAAAAAAATTTGTAATTCCAAAAATGGATTTCAGCTATGAATATTAGGAAAAAATCACCTGTATTCATCATAAGAAGATCTGTTCATCATTTATTCACATCAATTGATCAAATTTACGCCTTGAATCATTACAAACAATAATAATAATGACATCATATGGTTACATTGGAGGATTTTCTGTTGATTTTGACGGTTTTTGAGGGTTTTTGGAGGTAGTTGACCATTGTTGAAGTTTGTTAGAGGGTTATATACTATTGTTAGGGATTTTACGGGCCTTTGTTCCCCTTTTTAATCATCTTATACTTTTGTTAGAGTGTTTTTAATCATTATTAAATTACTTTAGCAGTACTAAGTTCACTAAATTGCCCCTTTACATCAAAGGAGAGAGTTCTATACGTGTGATAAGACTACAAGTCTTCATTGGAATAACAATCGAACTGATTGTTGCTTTGCTAGTAATTAAAGTTGTGTTTTGTTGTGTTCAAATTGGAATAACACTACAATAGTGTTGAGATTTCTTTAAAACTAAAAATCACGGGAATAATACTTGAATTAAGTATTGAGACAAATTTCTCTGGTGCCTTATCCCAAAGAATTCAGCAAAACCCCGTGTTGATTCTTTCAAAGAGGCAGTCTTAGGCAACTTCTACTGGTTAGTTATATTAGTAGATTATCCCTCTTTAAGCTCCGTAAAGCTCTTGTTGAGCTTTGAGTTCTACAACGGTGAACGCCTTCAGTCTCGACAACTTCAATATTGGAATCCTGATTGACGTCGATACAGTCAGGAATCCCAGTCTAGAGGCATCAAACAAAAAAAAAGAAAACAATTTGAGTGAAACCAGAAAGAAAGACATTGAGTTGAGATGATGAAGAAAGACACGACTTACAGAAACAGGCACAGCCTTCTTAGTTTTCTTGACCGGCCTTTGAGCTACGCTTGCTGAGGCACCTGAGCCCCTTGGACGACCTTTAGTCTTGGAACATTGGCTAGCAGGCTTTGATTTAGAAACTTGGTTGGTCTTCTTTTTTGGTATCATTGCCAAGAAGTCTTTGGCTCTGGTGATCTCCACAACAGATTCTTCAGAGTCAGAGTCACTGTGAGCCTGAGTTGGATCGTAAGGACTTCCAGCAAGGTCAAGATGGGGTAGATCACTATTGCTGGAGGCAGGACAATGAACAGGAAGACAAGAGTTGGGTGATTGGATCACATATCCAGGCTTAGGAGCAGAGGGGCTGCGTGGGCAAAGAGTAGGACCGGTTTTCGCAGGAGGAGCAAGACTGAGAGTTGAGACATTTGGTGCCATTTTATAAGAACGGTAGAAGCTATTGTTACTAATCAAAGATAGAAAACAGGGATAATTAAGGTTGCATACCTCTGGCAGAAGTATGCAACCTTAATTAAAGACACTGGCAAACACGCGCGCGAGCGTTTGCACAACTTAGTATGTCAATGATGATTCCCTCCCTCTATCTCACATTTGCCTTGGGTCTCTAGAACTCTTTTGCATTGCTCACCGTTTCACGTTGCCAACTTGTTTCTTAGGTGTTGCACAACATTAAAAACAACCCAGAAGCCACCGTGCCCTGCCTCAAAAGGCTTGTACACCGTGTAAGTCAATCTTGCAGAGTATTCAAATGGTTTCCCTGCATTTTAATGATTCCCCTGAGCGGCTATCTAGATCGCCAGACAGTGTGGGGATACCGCCGATGGGATGGACGAAGATGTCTATTGGAGGCAAGCTCCATTGGCTCTGCCACTCTGTATTGCGTACCTTTTGAGTGTCCTTTTCTGAACCGCTTGCGTCCTGCATCACGGAGGCTGACCTTGTTTGGTGAACAGCAACGCAAAGCCATACGAATCTTTCAATTGTGTAGAGCTGGTGGGGGGGAGGTAGTATCTGGGCACAGGTGGATCTGCAGCTGCACCGTTTGAGTGTTCCAGGCACCTTATACACTTCCGCGTAAGCCCTTTTGATAGGTCAAGGCTTTGATGTAGATTTACACTCAAGTTTGGTATTGTCTGCAGGTTTTACAAGTTGATTTACGATGACAATTGTGCCACCTTTGATAACAAGGGGGAATTAGTTACCATGGGAACTTTTCTACTTAGTCTGAGACACACTGGCTAGAGTTACGCGGAGGGGGCCGCGGAGCGGCGGCCACCAAAACAAGATCTTGAATTTCTTATACTGATGAGGAATATGAAAAAAGATGAGAAAACTAAGTCAAACGCCCAAGAACAAAACAAAACCCCTTGGGGAGGCCTGAGGCCTTACAATTCTGTATCTATGAGATGCCTGACAACAAATAACTTTCACTGAAAAAATATTTTTTACCTCCCTACTATCTAACCCCCATTAACACCCTTGATGAAACAAATTGAATGATAAAACTAATGGTCAGTTTTGACGAGGCACGAGGAATAACCTCGGTCCACGTCACCGGAGACCAAGGGAGAAACCCTCCCGGCTACAAGCCCTTGCCAGGTAGCCGGACGTGCCTAGCCAACCGGGCTGTGCCTGGAAAGACGGATTCACCTAAAGTTGTCTCCCAGAAGATAGTCTCTGACTTTCTCAAAGACCTTTTAGCCTCCCCTGCTTCTCTCCCTCTCTTATTGTGCAAGGGTTACCTCCCGCTCCTCTTTTCAAAATGTCAAGCACTGAATCAGACACAAACCTGATCAACACTGTCGAAACCAGCTTGAAGGAGAAAACTATGAGGAAGAAAACGGCAGCAAAGCAAAAAGCATTTAAGAAAGACATCAAAGAAACCGGTCAACACAACGAAGATGGTAATAACGTCGACAAAGAAACCACTAACGAGGGAAACAACGACAAAGGCGACAACTCTTTAGATACAACAAACAACAATCTGAAGAATACCAGCATAGCCGCACCAAGAATGGAAAACAAAAGTGCGACCAACTACGTAATCCTCAAGATTGTGGTAAAAGGAAACAATAAACCTTGGGTCAGACTCAGAAGACCAAGAGAAATCAACATCTAGCTTGCAATGCTCAGACTTAATAGCGAACAATTCCAGTAAGTGGAACACCTCTGGCTACTAGACTCCTGCAATACTATCCAAAGAAAAAACTGGCATTGTGGCCCGATACTATCCGCATCCTATGCATAAGATGTAAAGCTGCATAAAACGCGTATTTTCGCATCTTATCTTGCCCTGTTTTTCACAAGTCCCCTGGCTCAGACTTGTCTGACCCTCAGACTCGTCTTCAATGCAGGGTCAGACACATCGGACACCACCTTTCCCCCTTTCCTCATGTTGGACAGACTCATCTGTCCTTGATTCCCTACTACATAAACACCTACATATGACACGCCACCTGACACACTCACCTTTCCTCTTAATCATCTTGCTCCCCTGCTCAATCATTTCGTTTCCGCCATAACCTACCCTTCCACCATTCTTGCCACCTTCCACTGACAACACAAGCACCAGAATCAAACACCTCAAACTCAAACTTACGTTATGGACAATATCGAGTCTTTCAATCACAGCACATCACTTCATTATTCAGGTGCAAGCTTCATCTTTGTCAATGTTAAAGCTTCATCACAACTATATGGAATTCCACCAAGAGTACAGATGTACAAATTTCGTATGATACAACTATTTACATGTGATCAAAACAACCGAAACAATTTGCTCAATACTGACAAAGACCTCGAAATCAAATTTCTTCTTGTTCTAGGTTATCTTTACCACTGACCAGCCTCGTCTCCATCGTCATCCCCCTCGACTCCTTTGTCTACCTCAAGCTCATCATGCGGCACCCGAATTTCCTCTTCCTCCTCGCCCCACAGAAGCATACTCTGCTCAAGCACCTCCTGATCATCAAGCATCTTGGATTCAATACTTGATGCATTTACATTCCTCTCCCACTGAGTCTTACACTTCACAATCAGTCTGCCCCAATGAAGAACTAATCTGTCATCAAATTGAACAGTCGATTTGCTGTACTCTTGTGTCCCTCTCAGCAGTTCAACCATGTGAGTATTCCAGCTCATCCAAACTCGGCTGTGCGACTGACTAAGATTCATGTGTACTGCATTTAGCACGGTCCTGCTTTCGTTCCATACCTCTTTTGCCTGTCGCCCACCTGGCTGGACCAAATCAATCGGGCTATCCTTTCCATGACATTCCGGGTCCCACTCTGAATACCAAACACAATTAAAACGATGTATTAGCTTAGAAGTCTTGTTTAGTTTTATGTAGTACTGTATGACTAAATGGGTTGCAATACAAAGATCGTCTTATACCTTTAACACATAGATCACAGAGCTTGTCTAGTTTCTCATCTGTTTGGATAGCATAGAGCATCATCTGCCGAATCTCCCGACTGATACGACAAAGCTCCTCAGTACAGCTTCGCTGCTGTAAGAACGCTTGAATCCCGTCCTTAGTTCCTTTATCGACTGCCCAAGCCTCGGTGGGATGTGAGAGTGAACCCAACTTCCAAAATTGGTCTTCTATCAACATTCCTTTTGCCTCATCGTAGGAAGGGCAGTGTAATTCACTCAAGGGGAGAATAGAGTTTTATTTAGAAACTTGTAGTTTGAATGAATCAAACTTCCGCTTGAACAAGGCCTGCTTATTTTGCATAAACTGCTTTAAGCTCTGTTGTACACGCGTTCCTGCTCGCCATACGTATACATATGTATCAGATATGTTTCAAAAGAGATAATCAAAAAGAAACAAAAGGCAGGTGAAATACCTTGGCCATGCTTTTCCCATCGTTTCTGCGCCTCTAAAATCCCAACTTTGGCTTCATAGAGCTTATTCTTTGCTATGCGAACTCGGATAAGTGCACCAGCCTTTGGATCTGCCACTTCCAACATCAGAACCTTTATTTCTAATTGAGCAGTACAATTAGATGGACTTACTATTCCGGACTTGCGTGAGATTCCGAAACTCTTCCGATCCTAAATGTGAAACCACCCCGCCGATTGCCTCTTCAAGTGCAACAATTGAACCAGGTAAAGTGAGCATCTGTTCCTGTTCTGCTTCGCTTCTATTTCTGATATGTGCTGTTTGCAAACTTAAAAGCTGAGCGCTGTTGTCATTGAAAGTACAAGTGAGCTCTTTAGCTTCTAATATAATTAGTAAGCCAACATGAACAAGGGACCCACTGCGAGACACATAGCTTCTCCTCTAGGTCAAGTAATTCAGTCACCTGTTCCTCAAGCTTACGAACACTTTCGTTTTCCATGGCAGCCCTCTGCAATGTCTGCTGTCTTTTCCACTGACCCGTAAAATAGTCAAGTGTGTAGATATCATTTGAGGTCAACAGCTCATTCAATTTCGTGGTGGCCTGGTCAAAAGATGCTTGCGCATGTTGTAGCTTGTTTTGCGCAGAGCCAACTGTTGTTGAAACACTTTATTAGCAGCTCATTCAACTCAATACGCTGGAAGCTTGGTTCAAAACAAACCTGCGTTTGCACGCAAGATCGTGTTGCGATGCTTGCTATGGAGATGTAATGTATTGAGCCGGTGTTGTCTTGTGGAGTAGCGATTGGGCATTACTAGCGGTGACAAAAAGGACCAGTTGCGCTCAAGTCCCTCCCCATCCGAGAGACCCCAGCCCTTGTTCAATCAAGGATTGTACTGAAGTTGACACGTCCACTGGTGTACATAAGAGTGGAACACACTTGTGCCAAATTTGAGTTGATCGTTCTCCCACTCAGTCTTGAATAGTTGATTCTAATTCAAGAAAGTCTCAGCTAGTCTCAGAACTCATGATTGAATTAATTAATGAAATCCATAAATAAGATACATATTACCTTCTTGATGCTTTTCTCCAAAGTACAACCGATGTCGTACAGTATTCCCAGCTGTGTTGGGCGATCAGCGGCTTTGGATGTGTGTGCCAGAATCTCGTCCAGCAAAGCGAGTACATAATATTGTCTGTACCCATAAGAAGATGCAATTCTGTCTCAGTATTGAAGAATGAAAAAATGATACCAGCGTTTTATATCTGGTAAAACATACTTTTCACCGCTTTTAACAACGTTAACCAATCGCAAGATGTGATCATGGCGGCAAGCCATACCAATCAAGCCGGTCTCGTCACAGCCTTTCCAAGTGGAAGCTCCTCAATGGTCTGCAGCAGCTGTATGCTGTGCAGTGCAGGTGTCCTGTGGCAAAAATAGATGACAGATATGTTTCAAAAAGGTATCAAAGAGAGCAATCGTATGTATTTTAATCTTACTCAAACACCAATATCCTTGTTTTTACGTGATGGACCTGGAGCCCACTCATCTACTTTCACTTGATTCATGAAAAGTGATGGATACGAAGTTTCTCGTTCCTTGTACTCGCGGCTGGCTGCTGTGTGTCTCCGATGCTGGAAGTTCCCATCAAAGCACACTATGTAATCGGGCTCGTCTTTCTCGTTGTTACCCAGGAAGGAACCAAAGCATCGGGGACAATTGGAAGCCAGCTTGTCCAAATAAGAAAGGTCTAGTGCAAGCTCAGCAAGCTTGTCTTCCATTAGCAGCATGTCTCAAAAGGCATCAACTGCACCAGAGAGAGTTTTTCGCCACAGACGTGGCTAAAACAGAATGGTTACAATGTATAATACAATTCAATTAATGGCACAAATAAGTACAGGAAATGAATGTGAAAAAAAACTCACCTGTGTGGTTCCCGGTACTAGAATGAGGGGATTAGCAGGGTCAAGAAACTCGTCTACCACCAATGCAAAACCCTGCATACGAACTGTGCAATGCTTCCACAGTGTGTGATGATAGCGAATAAGCCAAATCAAAAATGCTGTTTGAGGATGAATTGGAGACCCTCCAATGTATCCCATTCGCATTAATCTCACTTGATCCGATGTACATTTGCAAAACTGGATTTCTCGCTTCCCACGAGCTACAGCAACAGATTGTTTGTGATTAGTAATGATTGTGGGTTTATGTACTGGGCAGGCATACAACTCACAAACAAGATCAACCAAGTCCACCAATCGCGTCCTAAGATCTCCAACTCCACAAGTGCAAGGTTCATTGAAGTCCTGATCCCACTTTTGACAATCTCCCCATTGAGAGGTCTTGACTGATTGAGACATATAAGTAGCAAACATTGGTCCAAGTACTTTCTTCCACCTAATGTGTTCCTTTAGCTGCTTAGATTTGTAATATGCACCCCTGATATACTCTCCAAAAGACATAGGTAATCCTGTTGATTGAGGCGTAGGAGCGTCCACCATAACCGATTGAGATGAAACGGATGATGATGACTTGTAGCCAATATTTGGTTTGGGTCCATTCATGTCAGCATTGGAGGGTGGACTATGTAGATGACCTTGTTGGTCCGCATATGGATAATTTTGATTATCTTGCTGGTTCTGAACTTTGGCGAGCGCTCTGTTCAATTCTTCGGCGTTTGCCAGCGCAGATTGAAATTCCACTGCCGTAAGCTCAGCATCAGCCTGAGATGAACCTTTGGGTGCCCCAGGCGCTCTCTGTCTCTTTGGTTTTGGACCTAGTGGACCCTTGATGACTCGTCCCTTCTGCCCCATCAGATCAACGTAAAACTGCTGGATTGATTTGGATGAGAGGAGAGAAAGATGCGGGATAAGCTGAAATAAATACTTCAAAAAAAGACTAATGCAAGGAGAAAGAGGATGATGCAATGAGAACGATAATAAAGGAATGGCAGACACAGGAGCCTTATTAAACATTCCTTTTGATGGAAGGTGAGTTATATAAAGCCAAAAAATCATTATTGTATCCGCTTTGGTAAATGATTGGTGAACCATTAACCATTTAATTGTGATTTCATTTTGATATATTTTTTCAACTCCTTCATTTAATCATGGACATGTGTGTTTCCAAAACACGCATACCTTTCCAATACACCATCTTAAGTGAAAAGAAAAGGGTGGACTTGTGTACAAGAAACCATATGTGTTAGAGTGGTTGCTTTTCACAACACCTTTTGTTGTACTGTGTGGCTACAAACAAGTCAAACTCTTGGGGTTTTTGTACAATCCAAAAACTTGAAGGCAGAAAATACTGGCAGTTTATCAAGATTTCAATCAAATCCAATAGGAAATCCCTAAAGATGCTAAAATTACCATGTATAGCCTAGTTTGTGGCTATAGACATGATTTTGCTGTGTTTGTGGTAACACATTGCAGAAGTAAAACTCCTGGAGTTTTTGGACAAACCTAAAAGTTGAAGCTGGGTTGGACTCTTGGAGTGTTGGGCCATAAAATTTATCACTTTTATACAGGATGGTACCACTTGAAGAACCACTTATGGCTCTTGGAGTGGCTTTTGTACCCCCATAATTGCAATATTGCAGAAACACACTTGACAAGTAAAACTTTTGGAGTTTTTGTACAAACCCAAATGTTGAAGCTGTTGTAGATTTATGTAAGACTTTTCTATAAATATGAACCATTGTGGTCACCCATAGACCACCCAAAGAACCGCTTATAGCCTTGTTAATAATATATGAGGTGCTTTTCTTATGAATGGTCTATAAGGAAAACTTTTTCTAGATACCCCCATGACAGATCACATACTCATCGGCACAAAGTACACAACACTCACCATGTTAAGCTCAGTATGTCACTCATTTAAAGCAATAATCTCTATTAGGTACATGAGTTAATGTAATATTCACAGATACAAACTCCCAAAGAGTGATTATATATTATAATCCAAGGGTTATAAAGCACCAGTGGTATAAAATGTGGTACCACGGATTAAGTACCAATAAACAAATTCTTTTGAAGCAAAATTGAGGTGTGTATGAATTACTTTTGTCCAATGATAATACTACTTCATATCATAACACAAGTTTTTGTTCCAACTCCAAACACAAATCCCACTGCAGCATTAACTTAGTTTCCAAATCAGGCCACATTCAAAATCTTGTTATAATTTAATGTATTATACCTAGGTGGTTGTAAAGATTTGGATGAATACTAATGAATCTTTAGAAGCATCCAATATATATTCTCCAATATGATTCTCATCATCATTCCAGTACAGCCTGATTCACAAATAATACAATCTTGTAAGGGAGCATAATATTTGATCTCAGGTTACAGCCACGTGCCCATAGTTTTCAGATATGACAACAATGCAAGGCATTTAGATGAAAAGACATCTTTTGTAGATAAACAGACATCCACTATAGTTTCATTGGTTGGTGAAATTATATCACTAAACACTAAGTAGATCAAAGTGATTGAGGTGCATCAAATAGTCACATCAAAAGCAAAATATGTTACACATTTTCCAACCCGCAAACAATTTTTAATGTAAATGAAGAATGTGAGACTTTACATTCACAACAAATTTATATTTATATTGATTAGACTCTCTTTTGTTTGCTAAATAATCGAATCAGGATCAAGGGAATAAAAGCAAGATCATTCCTAGCTTGCCAAATTTGCAAATGTTGGTTGCGCTTCCAGAAAATGTCTGTTCCTTCTTGAGGGTTAGTGATAGAGTGAAAGGTGATTTTATTACAACAGAAGAAAAAAGAAAAAAGATAAATGAAAAACATGGCATTACAAGAACCCAATAATGCTGAATTTCATCCACGCACCTCAGGATTTAATACATTATATATACCTTAACATGTACAAAAGTCTACGGATGGAAGTATTATTTTATTGTTCTAAATTCTCAAACTGGATATCTTTCCTGTTTACACTCCCCAGCCCACTCCACGTCTCTAACTCCCTTGTCCATTCCTTCCACCCAGCATGAGAAACACCCGATCCCAACAATCTCAACCTTCTCCTACCAATGCGACCATCTCCAGTACCAGTGCTAGCCGTTCTGGCCAAGTTCGAAATACTGTTCCACCAGCAACCCAAAGCAAGAAGAGACCTACCCGCTCTCAAGCTGTTACCATCACAAACACCAAATCTTCTACAACTGACTTGGCCAGAACATCGACTAATCAAATGCAAATGCAGATCGATCTGGCTACAACCCAACCCAAACGCAATCTTTGACAAACCAACAAGAGGAGCCGGTATGAAGAGGACTTTCAAAGTGATGACAATCTCAGTGACCAGTTTAACCCCAACAATGACCTTTCTGAATCAGAAGAGGAAGATTTTGAAATTCACAATTGTCCCCAAGAACCGGCCACTAAGCGTCCTCGAACTCAACTGGCAGATTCTTCAAATTACACAACTACTAACACAACCACACAGACTTCAACAAACAGCTTATTAGATGACAAATGGACCCTTCCTACAGTCTCAAACTACAAGTCACTGGCAAACGCATGGCCAACTTCAAGAATTTCTGAAGCTCGACGTCGATCTGGTAAGACTGGCTCGGGGGTACCTCCGAACATCCAAACCGAAGCGGAAGCAATCAAGACGCTCTACAATCATCACAAAGAGATGCTTGCTTTGATGGGAAATGTAAGCTTATTTACACTCGACAAAGCCATGTCAGTTGTTCTCAGCAACCTTACTTTTAATTACTTATGTCTTTTGCAATTACTTATATCCGTGAATTGTTCTTGTTTTTGCAAGTGGGGATCTTGGATCATTGCGTAAGAAAGATGGCTATCGTCTCTGGATAAAATTCTCTAAGTTTGTTGCAGAGACGCATAGTGAGTCCCACCATGACCTCACACAACCATCTATTTGCGTGTATGTTGCTTATTCTTGACTACAGTGCCTCCATCAGGTCAACCAGCCAAACTTGCTGAACGTAACAAGATCATTGGCAACAAGTGGACCAGTCTACCTGATATGGAACAACTTGTTTATGACCCCACAATATTCTTCACTCTGTCTGGATTACCTTTGCCCAAAAAGGTCAAGCCGGTCAAACTCTCATCTGCAGATTGCGACGAGTTGCAGATCCTTTACGACGAATCGGTTTCTAGCAATAAAGTATCCAAGGTTTACGCCAACGTGGCAGCAGGGATCCCAGACGGTCAGTCACTTGCAGACCACAATTGACTCTCGCGGAAGCGTGTGAAAGAAATCCATCCTGAGGTACAATAATTGAATTTCCTTCCATTCACAGCCCCCAATCACAAGTCACTGGCAGGCCAGTGCCTCCCACCCACCCTAGCAAGTTATGAGCAAGTTATGAGAAAATTATGAAATGGATATCAAGTGGATAACATCCATCGATTGAGAATTTGTTGAGAAGTGGTTGGGAGACCACCAAAATTGAGATGATGTCATACAGCATCATAAACCTGTACAAACCTGCTCCTGTATTTCCCCACCAAGAATATATAGTTTATTAACCTTTGTGACATAAATTGACTGAGTTATTGAGGTTTGAAAAAAAAATCACGGACAGAAAATACTATTTTTGTACTATACCTAAGAATTGATTCTGGAATATCTTCCAGCTTCATCAATATACATACACAAAAAACATGATATTCCTTTTGAAAACAAGTTTCTCCACATTTTTGTCCCCTAAAGCCTTTCTGTACGGGCAGTATTTCCACATGTAATTCCTGAATGTGTCTGCAAGTTTGATTTTCTGAAGTTCTTTGCCCCAATAAAAATTTTGAGGCAACATATTGCCAAAATCATTCTGAATTTGATTGATATACATGGAGATGGTATTTGACAAAAGTTTCTGCCATAAACTTTGCCATATTCTGCCTAGAAACAAAGAATCCATCAAATTGTTGACTGCTCATGTACACACCACAATTACATATAGAAATACTGCCCATACAGGAAGGCTTTAGGGGACAAAAATGTGGAGAAACATGTTTTCAAAAGGAATATCAAATTTTTTGTGTATGTATATTGATGAAGCTGGAAGATATTCCAGAATCAATTCTTAGGTATAGTACAAAAATAGTATTTTCTGTCCGTGATTTTTTTTCAAACCTCAATAACTCAGTCAATTTATGTCACAAAGGTTAATAAACTATATATTCTTGGTGGGGAAATACAGGAGCAGGTTTGTACAGGTTTATGATGCTGTATGACATCATCTCAATTTTGGTGGTATGACATATTTTGCTGGTAACTGACCCAAAACATCTTGATAGAAGATGGATGTTATGCTGAAAACAAATTGAAGTTTTGTTGAAAACATTTTGGAGACATCGGATGTACTGGCCTGCCAGTGACCAGTAGTTGGGGGCTGTGATTATGGCCAATTTACATGCTGACTGGTTTGATGATGGCAGATTCATAACGAATCGACCAGGATGGCCTTCGCGTACTATTTCATTGCAGCTGGTACCCATGTCCACACTGAAGCAGGGAAAGCTTCTGATGGGTGGTGTGTAGAGTATTCCTCACACCAAGATATGGCTGACTATGTTTGTAACAAAAGCAACTTTCCGGCAATATTCGCCACTCGTACTCAAGGTGCTTCGGTGGAAGAAGCATTAGCAGCTGTGAACGGTTCACATTCGCAGTCAAAGTCCACTTAAACAAAAGAACCGCAGGCTGCAGACGAGATTAAATCTGAACTAAGTCTGCGTCTGCGTACTCATTTAGGTAAGAGCTTTCAATGTGTTCGATTTCTATTTCCACCGGTGTCTATTTCTAACAATCATTTTGTTCTCAAATATCTTTCGCACGTGTGTTATGTACTTACAACTATACATAAATTCTTTCTTTCCATCTAGTCAAGGTGATTGGTGACTGTCCAAAGAAAGGATTCCCTTGCAAGCCCGACCCCGCTCAATACCTTAGGGACAAGGGTTATCCAGTCGAAGCAGTACAACTACCTGGATCTACCCTGCGACATGAAGATCTACTCTTAGGTTTTGACAAAATGAACAGCAAGCGGACTCAGTGGCTGAATGACCTAAAGGCTGGTTTGTTCAAGTTCAAGAAGATCACAGAAGACCCGATTCAAGTGAACAACCCCAGTGGTTCAAACAACAGTGGGGTGTCAAATCCAGCAGATACCCAAGGAGAAGACGAAGAATGGGGAGGCATCTCGGACTCATGCGGCATTGTGGAGGACATTGATCCTGATTTGGATGATTTGGACGAGGACAGTGACGATTTACCTGACGAGAACAATTTCTGATACTCTGCATCAAAAGCTGATATTGAGCTTGATATTGAAGTAAGCCAAATAGACATACATTACTTCACTTCTCACTTTTTTAAATTTTCATAAATTAACGTTTTCTCCATTGCATAAACCACATCACTCTCAAACCGCAAGGTGAAATCAAAGAAATTTTATATGTACCATTGCTACTCAATTACTGTCCGTTTTTATTCTCAACAATTTCCTTTTATCTGTGCATTAATTGAATTTAAAGTCTCACAATAAACATCTTGAGTTCACAAAGTTGAAGATTGTTTATCGATCAAAAAACAACTGAAAACCATAAAGCGAAATTCAAAAACCAAAATTTCTTCAATAATACCTTGTCTCTTCTCACCTTCAGATTCTGTATGTTTTTTCAAGTAGACAGAAACTGCCTTTGAGACATGCAGCTTCAATTTCAAGAAAGAAAATGAATTGTCTACATTACATCTTTCATAAGCTTTTGTTTCAAATTTCAAATTTCACGTTTATATGTTTTGTGTCTCAATCAACACTTTTTGGTGCTTTGTGTCATGCTTGTGAATCAAATAATCCCAATCTACCCTTGCATGCACAGTGAAATTTGACGAGTGCCCAGATCGTCTGTTCGTTCTGACCCCAATTGTTTTGAAGAACAATCTCACCTCTTGTACATGTCACATTCCACGGATGTGACCATCAAGAAACCTCATCGATATGAAAGTAGGAGATAGATTCACAAATAACATATGTAGCAAAAGGTGTCTTGGTCAGTTTGTTTGTATCACTCAATGTGTATCAGTCAAAGTCAACTGTCAAATCAATTTGAGACCCCTTGACTGAACTGTCATTTCATATCTTTATTTCTCGACCTCGACCGTCATTCCAAATTGTGATCACTTGACCTTGGGTAGGTTTTGTTATCTGTAGTTCAGCTTCTTATTGCACGAGTGATACCCCACCCAGCTCAAATCAAGAGTGAACATAGATACATTCATCTCGAATAAAGAGTGAGAGAAGGTTTTATGAAATACATGCACTGGTCTTACGGTAGATTTCACAGATGAAAGTATTGACTCTATCGAGATTGACCTTTTAATCCCAACGGTCAACCAGTTAGACATAGGGGGTGTTTAAGGACTTTGAAATCAAATGAGTGTCATTCAATCCAAACAAGAGAAAAACGAGAGAAATACGGCTTTGGGGAATTGATTCAAGCAAGGTGATTGAGATGGACAGGAAAGGGAAGGAGGCTGGGATGGATGGTGTGTGGTCAATGAGTGGGGATGCTTTCCCTCATGTGGGTGTGGGGTCATACATAGCCGGCTGAATCGTGTTAGTCCTGCTCAAAAAAGGTTATGGGTTGGTGAAAGCATAGATAGCCGGATGAGCCAGTCCTTGCATGACTTTGAAAAAAGTGGCGGAAACGGTGAAAGTATAGCTATAGCTGGCTCAGTCGTGCCAGTGTTTGAACAAAGTGGTAAATTGGCGGACGCGTAGTTGATGGCGAGGAAGGACAAACGGTTGTAGGAGAGGAGAGGGTAAGAAGAGTGGGAATTGAGGACAGACGAGTCTGTCCAACATGAGGAAAGGGGAAAGGTGGTGTCAGATGTGTCTGACCCTGCATTGAAGACGAGTCTGAGGGTCAGACAAGTCTGAGCAGGGGAATTGTGAAAAACAGGGCAAGATAAGATGCAAAAAGACGTGTTTTATGCAGCTTTACATCTTACGCATAGGATGCGGATAGTATCGGGCCACAATGCCAGTTTTTTCTTCGGATAGTATTGCAAGAGTCTAGTAGCCAGAGGTGAAGTGGAATGGTATCAATTTCTCTATCAGATCTCTAATGCCTCTGGCTATAACGATGAACACCTTGCCGTCAGGTATCAATTTCTCTATCAGATCTCTAATGCCGCTGGCTATAGCGATGAACACCTTGCCATCATCATAGACGATGTCACATCCCATATATGCACTTTTTTATGCCGCTGAAAGAGCAACGCACATTTATGCCGCTAGAAAAGCAATGACTTCTTTTTATAACCTCTTCTCAGATGTCATGCCGCTATAAGCGATGTCTCATTCAAGCATCATCAAGTGATAACGCTGCTAGTACCAGTAACACAATTACCCATCGTCACATCTGCTCCATAATTTCACGTAGTAAAAATACCGTCAATGTTCAATTGCTGAATAGACAACTTGCCTTGCTCCCTTTGCTTTAGGTCTAAAGCCAGATTGGTATGAATGAGTCAAAGTAGCTCTTTGGAAAGGCGACAATAAGACAGTCACAGAACTAGTAAATAAACACGACCCTGTTCAAAGATTTAAACAACAATTCACCTTAAAGCCTTCAGGTTTGGTAGCCTTTGTAAGAGGAGTCGGCTCTACTAGTACTCTCATGCCGTTAACTCCTTTCTGGAGAGAAAATCTAAAGGCACTCAACTGGCACATCCCTTTGACGGTATTCAACAAAGAATGGATCAACAGAGACAATTCTGAAGCCATTAAGAGCAACACAAAGAAGAAGCACAGACCAACAGGACTATCCCCGCACAGCAAATGGTACCTAGATTGCTTTGAATGGATCAAAGCTGGAGATTTGATGATTGAGTACTTGAAAGACGATCTATACGATCATAAAGACTTTGCCAAAGCGTAAGCATACACCATCTATGCTGATGCGTAAGAAGACAGGAAAGCCTGATTTATATGCTTCATATTAGTCTACAAGACCTCTTCAAATTTGTGAAGGAAGTCGACGATCAACACTGCTGGTTGACAGCTTTCAGATATGACATAGCAGTCAGGCAAATTGTTGTTGGACATCACGTAAACGGCTGTCCACAAGATCCATCGCTCAAACGACCAGAACAAGTCGAGATAGCGAAGAATCAGACTGAAACCCTAAGAGACGGGTTCGACATGCGTCACAGAAACCGTGAGTTCAAACCCCCAAAGCAATCCGCTGATCAAGCATATCATCTAATTATCTTTGACCCTTCATTCCTCATGGGCCCTCTATTCCCTGTGTTTCTTATCCATCATTGTTTCTTGAAACGGTGTAGCATATGCAAGAGGTCAGAAATGGGAACACAAGAATCCCATCACGGGCAAATGGTACACAGAAGGCCAAAGTCACGATAACTTGGGAAATGAAGAAGACACAGTTGAAGAGGATTACATCCCAAAAGGAAAGATAAGAGCGAACAACTTTTGGAAAAGTAGAGAGAACGCTCTTGACGACAATAACACCAGTTTTAGAGGTAGAGGTAATAGATGTAGATCTTTCAGGGGAAGAAGGTTGAGATCTCCATATCAAAAGGATGATAGGGAAGTCACCTATGAAGAAAGAGCCTTCAATGATAAAGGAAAGAGCCCTGCCCAGTCAACCTCGAAAAGCAAGGACAAAGATGTGTGAGCCTACCATGGCCACTGCTCAAACCTATTTGTTGTAACCCACCATGTTGAAGCGGCTTTCCTCCCTGATGTATAACCTTTTGTAATAGATGTCCACTTTCTGACAAATCTGAAATGAAAATTGATTTAAATGTTTGCTCAGCGGTGACAGAAGATGTCAAACAACATGCCCCTGCCCCAAAAATTCTTGAAAAACCTTTGAACAACATAGGACAAATCCCAATAAGCAGTGATTCACTCCACCATGCTTTGTTACCTATGTTCACGGCACAAACATCTAAAACAACACACATCGAAACTTGGCCGACACCAGTTAGATGCAAGATGGATCTCAGGGCGTGGAAAGAGAGCATGCAAGATCTGGGAATGATGAAAGAGAGGCTTCAAATACGGTTTCCATCAAGGCATCCCGCAACATCGGATTGGCGATCTGAAATGGTATACACCCAATAATCACAGGTCAGCTGAAGAAGTCAGAGATAAGATAGAGAAAAATATCAAGGAAGAAGTTGCCGCCGGCCGGATGTTTGGCCCATACACAAGAGACAAAGTATACAAAAACATCGGTTTCTTTTGAACAAGTCCCTTGGGAGCGGTCCCAAAGGGAGACGGCTCCTTTTGTCCGATCAATGACCTCTCATACCCACGAAACGTAGAAGATATCCCTTCCGTTAATTTGTTTGTTGACAAAGACAACTTTGAAACCACGTGGGACGATTTCAAGAAGGTGGTCAATTTCTTCCGAAACTTGAAAACTTACTTTTCGCTAGGAATCTTTGACTGGGAGGGAGCATACAGGCAAATCCCCACACACACCTCCCAGTGGCCTTATTTAATGAGAAAAGACTTCAATGACAACATCTACGTTGACGTTTGAATTGCCTTCAGCGGAGTGGCCGGGTGTGGTTCGTTTGGCGGGCCTGCAGATGGATGGAAAGTGATCATGGAGAAAAAGTTTGATTTAATAAAAATTTTCAGGTGGGTAGACGACAACCTACTCATCAAGTAGATAGATCACAAGCTATCAATACAGGAAGTAGTGAAGGAGAGCGAATACCTTGGCATCAAAACAAATATCACGAAATATTCCGAGTTTGCCAACAAACAAAAGTTCATTGGGTTTTACTGGGACGCTAAAGATAAGACAGTTAGGCTACCTACCGCCAAACTAGAGCAGAGGAGAAGAGAAGTTGACGCCATATGGACACAGAAACAGTGGTCACTAAAAGAACTAGAACGGTTCAACGGCAAGCTGAACCATCTTCTATTGAGTATCCCCCAATTGAGATGCTATACTACAGCAAAATACAAGTGGAAAGCAACACAGAAGACTTTCCGGAAGTGTTCCCCTCCAGACGATGTTCTAGAGGATATGGCTGTATGGCGTGACGTCCTGGCAACCTTGCAGCCTACCAGAATTCTCCCCGAATATCAGGTCAAGAACGTGGGGTGGGTAGGCGACGCCTCCACCAACTTTGGCATTGGGATCATAATCGGAACGTGTTGCAACACCACCGCGCTCCGCTCCGCTGCGCTATAAATAGCATTTTTGCCAGCGGAGCGATCCGGCGCTATGAATAGTTCCAAATCGCTACGCTTTAATTTCAGAGCCGCTATGGCTTTTCAAAGCGGTGCGGCAAATTGCCCCACTCCGCTTCGCTATGCTCACATTTTGGCCTCGGTAGCGCTCCAAAGCGCATTCAGGTAGGTTTTTTGGGCCAATTTAATGTCCTTTGAGTAATTCGTACACTTTGGCCTACATACGCACCCCCAACAATCGTCAAATCAATTTTCTACATAGAGGTAACACAAATGAGATTGGCGCACCGTGTCGGTAAGGATAGTATCTAATCTAGATCTTTGATTGACCAGCTTACACCATTGTTTCCATGCATAACCATCCTTTAATTTAACATCTTCTTCCTTACAAGCTTGAAATTGAATGAAACTTGCGTACTCGAAAGTAGCACTGGAAAATCCAATTATCAGATACCAAATGATTTCCTTTGGTCCCCATCTTTTATTAACCAATCAAACTAATTGTGGTAAAACTAAATCCAGTTAAAATCAATTGGGTATCAATATGAGATAAAATCACAGTAGATTTGACTCCTACTTTTAAATCAAATTCTTTGGCTTGATGTGCATAAATTATATCATAAGTGATGGTCCAAGCCACACATCCAGAATAAAGTGGTAATTATATCTTTCAATCCGTGGCTCCTAAAACTACTGATGAACCAAGTAAAGCACCCTGGTTGAATGCAAATCCTAAACATCAAGAAAGAATTTTATACTGCATTAGTTTAATGAGACAATGTGAATTGATCTGAATTCGTAAGAACAACATTAAAAACGTACCGAGTACTAATCGAGGCCAATAAATGATACGTTTCATAAGAGGGTAAGTGACAACCAAGAAGAGTGAACAACTACCTACAAGGATACCATAAGGATTAAGTTGAAGTAAAATACCTAAACCAACACTAAGTTGTAATCCAAGCCAAGTGATAGCTTTAGGTATAGTAATCGAACCAGAAGGTAATGGTCTATCTTCAGTTCTATTAACTTTTGAATTGATTTTTTGACCCCAAAGATCATTAATTGTACAACCTGCTCCTGTCATTACAAATGCACCTCAACCGAAGATTCCTAATTGATATATTAGTTGACTTGGTAGTAATAAGATTGAAGTTGATGCTAAAGTGATTGAAGTTGCACATGATAAAATTGATAAAATTGAGCCTATCGGTGATTGAATTCTCAAGATTGCAAGGTATGGTTTGATTGTTTGTTTTGATCAATTGAATCGGTCTGTTATCGTTCGATGAGAAGTTAATGATACTTTTCTTGTCTGAGCTGATTTCTCTTCAGTTTGAATTTGATTGATATCCTGTTTTTGATTTTGATCGGGTTAAGTGGAATGGAAATGAAGTTTTGATAAATTTTGACATGAACTTGACAATTATATTGCTCTGACAGATATATCGCTCTGAGGCGCTAAGACAGATCATAGCACAGCGAATTATCGCTATGCAGTGCGCATGAAAATTCGCTATGTGAAATTCGATTTCACAGATAGCTATAGCTAAGCGCAACCCGCGCTATAAGGCCAAAAGGGAAGCGCGGGCGGAGCGCTCGCTCCGCTGCCGCTCCACTACCGCTTTTTTGGGCACTACCGCTTTTTTGGGCGGAGCGGTGGTGGTGTTGCGTGTTGGTCTCAGTTCCAATGGGTAAAAGGCTGGCAAGACCCTCCAGGGAGGCCTAGACGGTCTATTGCCTGGGCGGAGACCGTAGCGGTCAGGCTGGGCCTACTGATGGCAGAGAAAATTATGAGCGTGGCAGGCCTTTCACTATCATGCCTGACCGACGATACGACAACTGAGGGTGTGGCTCGCAACAACAAATCCGCCAACTATTGGGTCAAAAAGGCTTGGAAGATCATTCAAAAAGAACTAATCCGGCTCAATTGCAACATCAACCTGGTCAGGGTGGTATCAGCTGACAATGAGGCAGACGCCCTATTGAGGGGCCTAAAGCCCTCAAAATCCCTCAAAAAGCGAGTTCAAATAGGGATCCCCCAAGATCTGGTCGGCCTCATCTCACAAACCCCAATTCCGTCAACACGTAGACCACTTGTCACAACATGACTCTATCTTCCGCTTTGGCGACATTACACAAATCGTCCCCAGCTGTGGTGAAGGTTCTCGACGAGGGTAGCGAATACATCCTCGAACACGCATGGGCAGCCGCCACGGTCAAGCAGTACGCAGCTGCAGTAAACAAGTTCTTTTGCTTCATTGCCGAGGAGGGCGTCATCTATTTCTTTCCTACGACAGACACCATCATCTACCAGTTCATGTTCTGGTGCAGCATTAAAGAAGGCAACCACAAAGTTATCAGCAACACGACAAAATGCTACATCACCGTCCTAAGGATGTGGCACTTACTACATGATGTCCGCTTCCCAGCCGTTAACCTAGAGCGGATACGCCTGTTGTTGCACGCGGCCGCCAAAACAAACACCCCCAGCGCGAAACCCAAATGATGTGGGCTGACCCTCAAAAACCTGTTCGACATGTGTGAAACCCTTGCGTCGCCAAACAAGATCGACTCTGTCCTGTGAGCCGTCCTACTCACCGGTCTCTGGGGTATAGCCAGATTGGGGGAGCTGGTCCTAAACCCAGACCGTCCCCTGGTTTTCATACGCCGCTGCGACGTCAGCTTTGACAAAAACCGGGACAAAGCCATCATTTTGCTAAGGCTCTTGAAAACGGCTGCTCCCGGTGAGATTCAACGTCTAGTGCTACGGCGACAACCCAACGGCCTCGATCCTGTGAACGCACTCTACTTCCTGCTGAACATCTATCGAGGGGATCCTGACGACCCGCTGTTCCTGGGAGCAAACCCCAAGGTGCCCATGACCAGGTCGTACGTCACTCACTTCATGAGCGAGCAGGGAAGACGCCACGGACAGGTGTGGTCAGGTCACAGCCTGCGCATTGGCGGGGCTTCCTTGCGAGCACATTGGGGCAACAGAGTCTCCCGTATTAAACGAACGGGAAGATGGAAATAATCCGCTTACAAGTTGTATATCAGGCCCTACTCTGCAGGAGTCGCGCGCGAAACGAAGTCTCTCGCCAGCCGTATTTGTCGCTAATAAGTTATCTCGCCTTCTGCAATCTATGGCCTTTTGTTACGTCCTGTTTCCTCCAGATAGCAGTAGCCCCTAGTTGCGAAACCCTTGAGAATGGGGAAAGGACCTCCTATACATGAGGGCACCTCTCGAGCCCCCCTCCTAGGATGTGTTTGATTGGAGCTCCTCTCCCCTTTTCTCTCTGTCACGCTCCCGTCCGTCAGACGCCGGACGACGAGTGCCACGTAGTAGAAGCCTACGAAGCTTCCGCTAGGTGGTCAGGAGTGTAGGGTTTCACCCACCACAGGCAAGCCTCACTCTTACGCCTCGTGCGTATTAGCAAGTCTTGCCACTTAAACTCATCA